AAAAAAAAAAGAATGAGAGTAGGGACGCCTGGGTGGCTCAGTCGTTAAGTGGCTGCCTTTGGCTCAGGTCATGATCCCAGAGTCCTGGGATCAAGTCCCACATCGGGCTCCCTGCTCAGTGGGGAGCCTGCTTCTCCCTCTGCCTGCCGCTCTCTCTCTCTCTGACAAATAAATAAAATCTTTTAAAAAAAAGAATTTGAATTGAAATTACATCATCTATAAAGATTAATTCTGGGAAAATTGACATCTCCATTAAATTGGGTTTTCCCATTCATGTATATGGGATAACTCTCTCTTTAGGCCATTTATGTATTTCAATAAAGTCATAATTTTTTCCACCAAGATATTACACAGTTTTTGTTGAATTTATCTCTAGGTATTTTATAGGTTTTGTTACCATCTTATATACTTTTTTTAAAAAGATTTTATTTATTTATTTGTCAGAGAGAGAGAGCACAAGCAGGGGGAGGGGCAGAGGGAGAAGCCCCTCCCTGCTGAGCAAGGAGCCTGACTCAGACTCCATCCCAGGGCCCTGGGATCATGACCTGAGCCAAGGGCAGACGCTTAACCGACTGAGGTACCCAGGTGGCCCTTTCTTCCATACTTTCTAATAGTTAAAAATAGTTTTTTGCTTATAAGTAGCAATGCAATTGTTTTAGAATCATTGTTCTTGAATTCAACAATCTTGCTGAGCTTTCTCCTCAATATTAATGTTCCGAGTGTGGATTCTCTTGCATTTTCCTTTGTATACAGTCATATCATTTGCAAATAACTATAACTTCGTTTATTATTTCCCAATCTTTATACATATTTCTATTTCTTGTCTTACTACAAAAACCACAATATCCAGTAATATGGACATGCTCATCTTGTTCCATGAGATATAACATAGGTATAGGATTTTGATAAATATTCTTTGCCCTAGGTTGCTGGGAGCTTTAAAAAAAAATCACAAATGGAAACAAAAGCAAAATAGGTAATTCGGACTTGATGAAAATTTAAAAAAAAATTTTTCATCAAGTCCGAATTAAAACAGGCATAGGATTTGAACAGACATTTCTCCAAAGACATACACATGGCCAACAAGCATATGAAAAGATGGCCAATATCATTAGCCATCAGGGAAACGCAAATAAAAACCACAGCGAGATACCGCTTCATATTCACTCAGCTGGCTAGCATGAAAAGGACAGACTAAAACAAGTGTTGGTGGGGATGCTGAGCAACTGGCCTCCCACACTGCTGGTGGGAAGGTAAAACAGTGCAGCTGCTTTGGAAGACAGTTCGGCTGTTCCTCACAAAGTTATACGTCGCATTGCCATGGGAGCTGGGGATTCCCTTTCTCACCATTCCACCGCTGAACATGTCCACACAAAAACACGTGCATACATGTGCGTGGCAGCATTATTGGTAAAGGCCCCAAAGCGGGAACAACCCAGATGTCCATCGAATGATGAATGGGTAAACAATGTGGTCTACCCATACAATGCAATAATATTCAGCCATGAAAAAATGAATACTAATTCAGGCTCCAGCATGGATGAACCTCGAAGTCACTATGCTAAGTGAGAGAAGATAGTCACAAGAGACCACAAACGGCACAATTCCATCTGTCTCGGCAAAACAGGCACAGCTGTAGAGGTGGGAGAAGACCAGCAGTTGCTCGGGATGGGGTGTGGGGTCAGGAATGACGAATAACTGCTAATGGGCGCTGGGGTTTTTTGGGGGGTGATGAAAATGTTCTAAAATTCGATTATGGTAAAGAAGCTGAGAAAAAGAGAGATAAACAACTACTGGATCACGAGGGCAGAATTCGAGAGATAAGCGATACCATAAGACGAAACAACATTAGAA